TTTTCCTCCCAGATTGACAAATCACATGTAAACTAGTAGCAAAACTCTTGAATAGTCGTAGCCTGCATATCGCTCAGGGCGATGGGTCAGGGTAAATAAATACAACTCAACTCAACTCAACTCAATCACTCAATCGACTCATAACCAGATTGACAAATCACATGTAAACTAGTAGCAAAACTCTTGAATAGTCGTAGCCTGCATATCGCTCAGGGCGATGGGTCAGGGTAAATGAATACAACTCAACTCAACTCAACTCATATAGGTTAGGGCTTTTGCAAGCAACTGCTTAAGATGCTCTTGTCTCACTCTCATCGACCGGATTCTCCACTGAGCTTCCTCTCTACAACAAGCGGTCAATTAAGAGTCATGGACGAAGTCATCAGATGGGAAGATCGGGCTTGGACAGGAGTGCCGATGAGGACAATAGGAAAACGAGGACAGAATATTAGTCTATAATTCCTTTTAATAGACCGGAGGTGGACAAGGAAGATCTGGTTGAGATTTTAGGCAGTAACGAGTGATTACTGTGTATGATTAAGAGAGTCATGAATGCCGTGACTAGTATCGTGCGCGTGCAGACTCTACTCCTGGTTTTGTTGCAAGACGTGCTTCCGCAGGCATCAAATCGTAGCAACAAGGTGGAAGATTGGGCAGAGGTAGATGCACAACAGCGCCAACAGTCGTAACTGCTAAGCCAGTCGGTCTGTACGCACAGGGATGTGGGGGTCCTTTCTTTCGCGGGTATGAAGAACAATCTGTAGTAACAAAAACGCATATTAAGAATCGAAAGAATATTAAATAGGTTGTTGAATTGACTACATACTAAGTAAACACTGCCAAATCTAAAGCATAGCCTGGGATAGGCGGGGCGTATATAAGGCGTATACCTGATTATGCAAGGGACGGCGGCGAACGGTGTTTGTAAGTATATAGGGTAATAGGGAATTGTTTGAGTGGCTGGGTTCAGGGTGGGAAACGGTCCAGTCGGCGCCGGACGGTGGGCGGGACGGATAGCCCGCCGTCCCTATGAACGCCTTGTTCATTTAGACGGTAAAGTGGGTCGTCCGGTTCAGTCCGACTGATATCACGAGTCTTAGCGTGGTGTTGAGCGAACAATTACTAAACGAGGGGCGAGACCCTCGCGCACGTGCTATAAGCCCTAACGCTAAGCTTATTTAGGGAACTACAGGTGGCGGTCGCCCCTCAACACCATTAAATATTTGGTACACCAGCAAAAAATTATACAACTACCGTCCACCAGCGTCCCCCCGAACTAAGCTTCGTCAGGACGAACGCCTTCTTGGCACGCTACTGTAGGCACCGTCGCGACCGTAGGCTAGCGTTCCGTCCATTTGTTCAGACCGACGGTGATGAGGCTGGACGGTTCCGCACCCTGGCTGGGTTCCGTCCTCATTTAGACACATGCATATATATCTAGCGATTTAGTTCCTTTGCTCACTGGAAAACATTCATGATCATTTTCTTCTCCCTTATCCGCCACTATAACAATGGATCTGAGATAACAAACATCGCTCCCCCCTATGATCGGCCGAGTCTCGCGAGTAGTGATTCTCTAGAGATTACTTCCGAAGCTCTACCATTCTCGCACGGATCAATCTTTCGACCTCCTTATGACCTCTGTCATGAGCTTCCGATAGCGCGTCTTTCCAAACCATTTTTGTTGGCATTGTTCTACCATTAGGAAAGTACGGTTCGGTCGCAGGCTCCAATCCTGCACCTGCGTCGAGTAACATCTTTACCAATGCAGCATTCCCTGTTGTGGCTGCCCATTGTAAACATGTGCGTGGAAACATATCTGTATATATCGGTTTTGCGCCATGTTGCAGAAGGACTTGTACTGTTCGATGCATCCCTAACCTGCAGGTTGCGATAAGGCCCCCATGAAGAGTTGTCATGAGATCATCTAGATATCCCACTGACTTGTAATGGTGAATTAAGAGCGTTAGGATATCTGGATAGCCACCTTTAGCGGCGCTGATAATAGCGGAACGTTCCCAGTGTTGCACTGTGGCGTTATAATACTGAGGGTTAAGAAATAGCTGGACGATACTTTCTTGTCCCATGTAGGCCGCCACCTGTAGTGGACTTGAGGCAATGTTAAAAACGTCGTGGTTTTCTTCGTCCGGCATTTTTGTCATGACACCAGAGTCCAGAAAGTGTTTTACAACAATCAGGTGGCCTTGAGCCGCTGCGGCCCACAAAGGTCTTCCAAAAAATGAGCGGACACTGGGTTCGAGGCCGATATGCTTTATCAGCGCTATGTCGCCAATCCATGCTGCGATGGTAAGACAATTGGCGGGTATTCCACCTTCATATTCCATTAGGAGGTCAGGTGCTCGTTGGAATGACCAAAGCACGCCTCTGTTTTTGTAGAGCCCTAGGCATGAGCAGGAGGCACGATATAACATTTCCACCTTTTCTGAGTCATGCTTCCACCCGGCGTATTGTGCAAGCATTTGAACCGTCTGATGAATTGTTTGGACCAAAGGATGAGTACAGGTTCGACCGGTTCGGGTGCGGTAGAGAAGGTATTGAGTGACGATCTCGGAACGATACATGATGAGGAACATATTAGGTGCATATGCCTGTTCAATGACACTGGTCCTATAGAGAGCTTCTGGGATGGCCGATGCAAGACAACCTGTCTAGTAGTTAGTAGAATGTATATAGAAGAAGCCTTTTGCTCGAAAACACACGGCAAACCAGGCGTGCTCGCATCGATGCTTTCAGTCCCAGCTCAAGGACAATGACATCAAGGACTGTCAAAAACACATCGAGTGGGAGTTCCAGGAGTTTCATATCTTTCAAGTCGCGGGAGGTCCGATAGTTGTTATTTTTCAGCAAAGATCGTTGGTAGTAGAGTAGACCGCTTAATGCGACGTGTCAAGCCGATTTTAAACAATTGACGGTCTTACCCCGGCCTTTTTATCGGCCCCCATAGCTTTAACATGGCCCCCAATGACTCCAATAGACATAGCCTCCTATTGTATAGCCCCCGCAAAGTGTTTTGGTTCAGTGTCCAATCGCCGATCACAATTCATAACAAGGCAAATTCTCTGCGTAACAGCTACATACCCAGCGGTTCTGCAGTGCTTCCCCAGCGGATAATTATGCACTGTACACATCTTTTTAATATATGAGATGGCCACTACTTATCTTTCTCAATTAGTCAACTAGGAATTTCAGATTTTTTATTGTATACAGGGTAAGTTTTTCGCGGAGGAAATCTTTTCTAGGAGTACGAGCTAGCTATCTCCACCTGAATTCAGATTGACAAGCATCTCCGTTGATTTTGTGTATACTTAGACAATATCGACCGTACAGCAGTATAGCTAACTAGAGTTGCTCCTAGGCGGTATTTTGCGGGTCTCTTACACAGATAGCCTTACCCAGTAGCAACCAATAAGAGATAATCGGTGTGGTCAATGTCGGCTATGCTCGAGTTCAATAATGAATTTAACAATGTACTAATACCAATGCGTGGAAGTTGAGATACTGAAGATTGAGAGCATGTAAATCACCGTTAAGTCACTACTAAATATGTCCTCCCGAGGGAGCCCGAGGGCATAATCTGGTTAGTTATATCGCTACACGATGAACATCGCTTCTTGGTAGAGGACGTTGCGCGCAGCGTGTTCAACCGTCCCGTCGGCGCCAGACGGTGGACGGGACGGATAGCCCACAGTCCGTACGGCCCAGCCGTTCATTAAGACGGTGGAGTGAGTCGTCCGGCTCCGTCGGACGGTTATCACGAGGCTTGGCATGGTGTTGATCGAATATATGCGAATATGTACAAAAAAATGCGAATAACTGCCCACCCTCGCACCCCCGCGTCCCCGCACGCTCCTCCGCCAGCCCCAGAGGGTCGATTTAGGGTGTAAAACAGGCCTCTGGCGGCTCAACTGTAAGCTTGCGAAGACCTGCTACTGCGCGCGCGCGCTCGCTCACTCGCTCGTTCGCAAATATTCGCTCGTTCGCCTGCCCAGCGCTCGCCC